ACCCCTTTATAACAGGCTTGTCTTCTATACGACATGTCTTTTATAAGCAGGGGACCTCGTACGCATTTTCCTATCTTCCCCGTGTTTTACTGTAGGCGTACTGGTGTCTCTTATACCCATTTGCCTCTCATATCAGTGTCTTTTATAAAGGGGTTCCACTGTTTTTAAAAAGTGTAAATAAGATTCCTTTTTTCACCATAATTATTTGCTCCTGCTAGTCAAGCTTTAGTTATTAGGCAGTATTCGTAAGGCATCTAGCATTCGAGCCACAGTATTTCACTCTCAGTTCTTTCTCAAAAGAAATAATGTTTTGGTGCATAAACCGCTTCGGGCAGAACTTTATTTTATAATGACTACTATCTAGCTCAAGGAGTTCACAACTGTATAGTGACTATCAGTGAACGAGGTAGAAATAACAACAAGAGAGGGGGATTATTTACATATGTATACAGAGGGTTGTTATGTCTGATGGTTCCCGCATGATGTAATATCCACGATAGACTTTGCAACGAGCCCCACATTCCGGCGCTATATGTCATAAAGAGCGGCTGGCTAGTGCAGCAGGACTACCATAGCAAGTGTCTGTGCACCGAATGGGCTGACAATACTGTCGGCGGGCAGCCTGGGCGTGCAGTTTTTAGCTCAACTGCTCCCATCACGCTGCTTCAAGAGCACCGCGCAGGGCAGAGACAAGTGCATAAGGGTCTTCAGGAAAGGAGAGAGAAAACAAAAGCTATTTCTCAATGCCTCATTTCCCCAAACAGAAACAGCAAGCTTCTCATCCCTTCCCTATCTAAACTTGCATGTCGGCGAAAGCTTGGGACATTCTCCTCCCAAATGTTTTCGTGGTCCTGACCGAGTGGCATCTTCTTGTAGCTTGAATAGAACTACTAGCATGATAGCAAGAATGAAACCACCATCTTAAAAATAAATATATCCAGACAAGACAGAAAGGTTGTGTAATTGAATGAAATTATTTAATTTGATAGACTAGACTAGGCAACAAATGAAGAGTTGTGATGCAAACTAGAACACCTGTAAATTGCTAGTTGTGATCCTCCAATGCCCGTATTCTGAAATGCTCCTTACTTCATGCCTTACGTGAGGAGCCCTTCATGCCTTCTTATCCTAAAGGGCCACTCACCAGGCTTCATACCAAATTTTAGTTAGATCGTGGAAGTTGTTGGGTGTCCGGTGAGGAACATTTTGCCCCAAAAGTTTTTTGGATTGGTTCATTACGAGCTGAGAAAACTGTTTTTCTTTTAAGCGATGCCAAACGAGGATGAGAGGAGGCGAGCTCGAAACCCTTTCCACTCCTCCGCGTAGCCTTCACAAGCCAAATCTCTTCCCTACCCTCTCCGGCATCGGACCAAGAGGTCACGTGCGGATGACGTGCCCGAACAGGCCCAATTTCCGTGCAGGCGAGTGGCATTTTTTTTTTTTACCAGCGCTGATTTGAGGTATACTGCCCGTTTCTGCGGGATGGTTTGGAAACGCTGGCTTAGACGCGGTACAATAGACAGAGAAGGCACTAGAACAGATAAGCACAATGAGTGCGCGAGCGCGTAGCAGCGTTCCATGGCTGTTGTCTGCTTGATGTGCTGGCCGCGGTACCACGAAGACACGAACGCATTTCCGGCACACTAGCCCCGCATCTCCTTGTAATTCGAGGGGGGGGGGGGGAGAATGAGAAAAAAAGGACGCTAACATTCCATTATTGTGTCTCATTATTTATCTAGAGATTTCTTATTAATCTCTTCAAACAACAAATACATTAACTACACATGTCGTGTGAAATATTTTCGCCACGTCATGTGCCACTGTTGGCAATGTCAGAGCATAGTCGTCTACGTAGAGGACCAGCGTCACTGCATTGTCGTGTGCGTAAAGCCATTCATTCGCGCACATCTTGCCCCCATTTTCTGGGCGCACTGGCCGCAAAAGGAAGAGGGAGCGGCGTTCATCTTGAAATTCGGCCCATTTTCACGGCACGTAAGCGGTGCAAATTTTGGCAGGCGTGATCATAACACCTCATGTACGCATTGCGCTTGTCAGCTCAAAACTGTCAAACCTGGTGAGCGGCCTTTTAAAAATGTAGCCAGCGTATTCTGAAAGCTTCCTTCTATATTCCTTTGCAAAGGGCTGCCTTAGTAAGGTAAGGCATGTGTTTCACAAATCTTGGATTGAAAGTACAGCAGCCTCTCAGTAAACTGGAAATCTGTTAAACGGAACTACTGCTTAAATGGAACTATTGCCTCTGCAATGCTTTGTTTCGGGCTTGTATTCTGCATTCATGTTCACATCTCAGTAAACGGAACTCCTGCCAAATGGGACATCATTTTCTGGTCCCTTCAGGTTTCATTTACTGAGAGTCTACTGTAACTGTTAAATACGGACTAAACATCATTTATTTAGCGAAATTAATACATATGTTTTGTACATACAGATGTATAGTAACGCGTAAACACCTTTTTCATAACATTAGTATGCAGCCGTTCTCATTTATTTAACGTTCACCAGTTGTAGCAGGCAAGAACTGGCTGGTTGAGCAACCTTGAAGCTCATTGCTTTCATTGATGCATTTCAACGACCTATTAAGTGTTTAAGATGTGGATGAGTTCGACTTTCATGACCGACCAGTGTGGAGCTTGTCGAAAGTTCTCAATTTGGGGCAAGTTTGTCTCGAATGTATGCATGTCCAAGTAAATTATTTTGTTTACATTCTCAAGAAGGGTGTGTCTAATGGGTCATGCATCACGCTTTTGTGGATCGACCTGTTTCTAACAAAACGAGACAGTCTTATACAAGCGATTCCCAGGAATCCCTGTCTTGAAATTATTCCTTACCATAGTCTTACAGTGCAGTGCCTAGGGGCTGCATCTGAGTCATCACAAACATAAGAAATACTTGAAAACTGTCTGTTCCCCCTGGCCATAACACGTAAGTTTGATTTCTCGAATGATCATGTCTGTAGAACGTACTAACCAGGCCTGTACAATCAAAAGGGTCATTGTTTGGGCTTGCCTCTCCGCAATTAAAATAGTTCTGCTGCCACAGAGTGGGTCCCATTTTGCAGGCGTAGGTCACTTGCCGGTGTCACGACGGATTGCTAATCTAAGTGATTAAGATAATCTGCAGAAAAGAAAAAAAGGGTCACCTGGGCATACATTGTAGCTTATGCAGCTGTACTGCTGAATATGCTGTATGACATATATGAGTTTCTCCTACCCAGACCGCATGTGCATCACAACAGAAGCAGTCGGCATGGCATGTAAAAAATGCCCATGCAAACTAAGACATCATTAGCCTAAACGCAAGAAGAGCTGTCCTTGGAAGACTCGAACATGAACAGTGGTCGATGAGGCGCTCTTTTTGTAAGTACTGTTTCGCATTCCTCATGTCTCCTCTTCTTTTTTCTTCTATTGCTGTAAAATATCTTGTCCTCTTAACAGTGCACTGTTTTAATGAAAAAATTTTGCTGCTGTGTAAGCGCACGTTGAAAAACACGCCTCGCAAGCAATTATTGAATAAGGATGAGGATACAATAATGCCGGCTTGTGCAGAAATATGAGGCATCGATCAAAAACAAGAAATTAGAAACAGTGTCGCTGACAAAGTACTGCACAGAAGCGCCCTTTCCCTGCAAGTAGCAAGGTAAGGAGGCATGAAGGTTGCCTTAGCGCCACCTTGACTTGAGCTGAACACCAAGGAGGGCCTCAGCGAGGGAACCTCAGTAAGGAGCATTACAGAATATGTGACAAGCTGTCCTCCAGCAGTTGGGGCTCGTTCACTGAGGTAAGAAAGATATCAGAAGATGGGTCTAAGACACGAACAAAATATTGCCGTAAATACATCCTCGAGAAGTAACTGGTGCGCTGCTAAGTTACATCTCGGGCAGAGCAAGACCAACTATTCTACAGCAGCCTTCCACCAAAAGCAGCAGTTAATGGGGCCCTGAAACACTGTTTCAAGTAACCGTGGAATGAATTCACAGGAAGAGCTTATTGCCTCACGAATTCAACGCCGCAAAAATTTTAAGAATTTGTTCAGTGCGAGTACAGTTACAAAGATTTGTCGCATGCTGAAAGCTAAGCAAGGGGGGGATGGCAGGGGCAAAGAAAAACGTCACACGGACTTCGTGACCTTGAGCTTTTTTTTTTTTTTCTTTGCGGGACTTTTACAGTGCGATCACGCATACATGCACGGATAAGTCGCAGCCTCCCACGCCGGTCTCTGTAACGACCGAGTGTGCCATGTTCAAATCAGCCAATGGCTGATAGATGGGCTTTTTACAAGTGATTTTTGAGCGTCTTCTTTGATTTGTCGGGAGAAGAGAAAGCAAATTTTAGCTGACTTTTATCATTTATTGCGGAATTCCAGACCACAGGCTGCGCTTTATTATTTGGCTTGCATAGTGTCAGGATCCCCTACTATCGATCAGAAGCGCTGTCTGGAAATGCTCAAACAAATTTGCAGGGCCCCTTCAACTGATACGTACGCAAGGTAGGTTATAGAAGATTTCACTGTAAAAGATTTCATTGTACAAGATTGAAAGATGCGGACGCTCCCACGGGTGCTCGCAACACCCGTCCCCCTTCAGCAGGGACGCAGGAATCACCCAGGAAACTAGCTTTGTCACGCACATTGCAGAGGTATGCGGATCAACACACCATACGCATTCCCTCTAGTGGCTATGTCAAAGCTTTAAGAGTGAAAACCGTTGACAACTGAAAATAATGCAACGTGTGCCACAAAAAAGTATAAAACTTATTTTGATCTCTCGCCTAATCGACCATTGGTCCGACGTAACAGCACTTTTGAAGGAGAGTTTACTCAATACAAGATCAGAGTAGAAATCGACTGGCATTACAAACAAAGGTAAGGTGATACCCCAAACAACTTTTTCTGTTTTTCTCGAATTTCCAAACATCTTAGAATATTCTCTTCCAGCGTGCAAGAAAGTGACAAGTTTCTTGTATGGTAATCTGTGTTTAACTTACCTTAATTTGGGCACTCTGCACGAGTTCATCAAGTCCACTGTTCTGGCCACATTCTGCTTTGGCGTCTCGCACTCCTGCACAAGAGAAGAATAATACCATGAGACACAATGGGGTTTTTTTCTCGAGCCACTGTATGCGGCTTTTATCCTTGCATCCGCTCTCCCCTTATGTATTTTACAGGGAGAAATAAAGGATTACTTCACAAGTCCTTGCTGGCAAGCTCCAACACCCAGAAACCACCAGAAAAAGACACACAGCTATGGCAAAGAGACTCGGCAGATCACATGCCTTGTGGTAATCCATGCGAAGCAGCCAGCAAGGAATTGTTCATGCTGCATTCTCGGTTGTGAGCCAAGCGTTTCGAGGCGAGTCTATGTATTTTTGTTGTATTGTGTGCACATCATAGGCGTACCAGGAATCCTGAATACACTGGCATTTAAAGTGTATAATGGTCTTACGTAACGTCAAACTCACGTAAGAGCACCAACATTGGTATTACTGGTATTAGACATGTTAGGAGAAGACAATTATTATACACAAAATTTGTTAACATAATAATCCTTTGGGATTGTGTAACACATATTACAGCTTGCTGAATCATAGGCATGCAAAAGTAATGTTATTATACTATTACGTCAGTGAAGCAAACACTTGAACCAGAATCAACATTAACTCGACATGACGCCTGTATGATGGAAGTACATATGTAGTGTTTATTTCCTTGTTATAAAATTTCATAGCCAGCACTGAAACTCCTACTGATTTTGCGTTGACACGTTGCAAGAATAAGGTGCTGACACTCCCCGCTCTACATAACGAGAGGGAACGGTCAGCTTGTGTTCACCAATGACTTTGAGCCACAAGTAGTTTTCGTGGCGTGAGATAGAAGACGCTAAAGTATGGAGAGTGGGTCAGGAATTTGCGTGGCGCTCATTCTGAAATTCGCGGGCAAAGGAAGATCTTCCTGAAATCTTTGTGCGGATGGAATTTTGTGACTTACAAACGATTCCATTATCTTTGAAAACACCAGAATAACGGCTAGAAGGAACTGTGAAATGACTCGTCTTATAATAGAAGCCGAACAGATTGCGGCACTCGGAGATATGTGTGTCAGCCAGCCGTTGATGGTACTTTCAGAAGAAGAGTTAACATATTAGCACAAGCCTTAAGATTATCACTGTAAGTGTATACATATGCATGTATGTATTTCATATTTATGCTGTTGCTTTACTCAATGTGCTTACATGACTGTGACTCGGCAGACAATTGTATAAATGTTTCCTAGTTTCCAAAAATAAAACTATGTTGGAAGTTAGCGCTCTGTCTGTCTATATGCGCCTTCATTTCTTCTTGTTTTTTACATGAGCTACAAGGAAACTTACTGAAGATGTTGCCGTGCCTGTGAGCCCTGCCAATGCATCTTTTTTTACTGACTCGTACTTTGTGATTGATTGATTGATATGTGGGGCTTGACATCCCAAAACCCCCATATGATTATGAGAGACGCCGTAGTCCAGGGCTCCGGAAATTTTGACCACGTGGGGTTCTTTAACGTGCACCCAAATCTGAGCACACGGGCCTACAACATTTCTACCTCCATCAGAAATGCAGCGGCCGCAGCTGGGATTCGATCCCGCGACCTGCCGGTCAGCAGCCCAGTACCTTAGCCACTAGACCACCGCGGCGGGGTCTCGTACTTTGTGATTCAGTGCACGTATACCTAGAGGCTGCATATGACTCCGAGTAGTGTCAGCGGCCTTGTCGCTGGCTGCACCGTTTTTCAATTCTTTTTTTGTATCTTTGGAAAGCTTCACTATAGTGTGACGATCTGGACACTTGTTCGCAGTGCGCACCGAGAAAGTTTGCTTGATCTTCCAAGCTGTCACCTTGTGTGTTTACGAAAGGGAGTGATTTTCTTGTTCTCCTGTTATTCTCCTAACCATGTTTGAGACTTTGGCCTCCTGTGTATATTTATTTATTCAATACTGCAGACTCGAGGTCCAAGCAGGGTGGTAGTACACATACAAATAACATGATTGCAAAACGAAACAATAAAGGGCGAAGAAGGTTGTTTGGTAGGTTAGTTCATTCATCACATGTATTAGTAAGACAGTTCCATTCACATATGGTTCTTGGAAAGTGCGAATACTTCAGTAGGTCTGAGCGAGCAAAATATGGGATCAAGGCCTTTGGGTGGTGGTGTCGGGTTGGTCGGCTACTAAGGGGTGTCAAATACGGGGATGGGTCTAGAGCTATTTTTTTGTTCAGAAGTTGATCAAGGAATTCCAATCTAGCTTTTTGTCTTCGCATCTGCAGTAAGGGAATGTTGTTGGCTAGCATTAAATCTGAGGGTGAGTCTAACTTGGAGTACTTGTTGAATATAAATCTAACAGCTTTTCTTTGAATACGCTCAAGAGTGTATATATTACTTTTTCTATAAGAATCCCGTACTATGCTCGCGTACTCAAAATTTGGCCGCACAAGTGCTGTGTAACAAAGTAGTTTAACATTCGTGGAAGCACTTTGAAGTTTATGTTTAAGAAGACATAGTTTACGAAAGGCAGATCAACAAACATTATCAGTATGGAGATTCCAAGATAAGTTGGAAGTGAGTGTCACAGCAAGGTATTTGTAGTAGTTTACTTGTTGCAGTGGTGAAGACCCTAATATGTATGTATACGATTGTGGATTTTTTTGGCGAGTCACTGGAAGGCACATACATTTGTTCGCGTTGAGACACAATGCCCATTTGTTGCACCATTCATATATATTGCAAAGACTAGTGCTAAGATAGTTGACATCGTTAGTGGAACGTATTTCTTTGAACAAAACACAATCATCTGCAAACAATCTTATTTCCATACTAGGGTGAATAACATCAACAATATCATTGATATAAAATAGAAAAAGCAAAGGGCCTAACACACTGCCCTGTGGTACGCCCGATGTGACCGGAAGACAGTCCAAATATTGGCCCCCTACATCAACTTACTGTTCGTGATTATTTAAATACGCAGAAATCCAACAAATGAATATTTCGGGTATACCTATTGTTCGAAGTTTGGAAATGAGTTTACTATGGTAAACTTTATCGAAGGCTTTGCAGAAATCTAAGAAGAGCATATCTGTCCTACCGTGTATATCGATGTTTAATGCAAGAGAGTGAAACAGTGCGACGAGTTGAGTTACGGTGGATAATCCTTTCCGAAAACCATGTTGATACATGGTTGATATAGAGTGTTGTTCAATACACTTGTTTATACTAGTAGCTATGATGTGTTCAATAATTTTACAACATTGTGAAGTTAGTGAGATTGGACGGTAATTTCCTAGTGCTAAGCGGTCCCCCTTTTTAAAGATGGGTACAACGCGGGCTGTCCTCCAGTCACTGGGCAGCTGGGAAGACAACAAAGAACAGCGGAAAATAATAACCAAAAACTTTGCTAGAGATAAAGCATATCGTCGTAGAAATACGTTTGGTATGTTATCAGGACCACAGGATGCCTTAGATTTTAAATTTAGCAACATAGACACCACGCCTGGATAAGAAATAAACAGTGCTTAAGCATAAGGAAAGGCTGTAGCATTAGATATACAGTTGAACACACTCTGGAAATATTGATTAAAATGCCGGGCAATGTCTCTCCGATCGGTGACGTTGGTTCCATCAATTGATATTTGGGACACAGGCCTTTTCTTTTCACTGATAAAACTCCAGAATTTACTGGGGTCATTTGTAATAAAGTTAGGTAATGAGGTTTTAAAGTAATACTCCCTAGAGCTGCGGACAGTTTGAGCGAGACTGTTGTGCGCATCATGTATCAAATCAGTCGTTGCCCGCCTTTTTTTCAGTCACTTAACTTTGCGCTTCATATGAATGATGTTGCGATTTATCCATGGTGTTTGTTAACTCTTTTGTGCTTGGAAGGCACAAAATTATCTGAACAAAAATGACACATTTGTTTGAATCGTGCCAAAAGCACGCTAACATTTACGTCATCAAAATTTGTAAGACATGTTTCTAGGTGTTCAATTATGTCTGCATCATTAGCCCTGGAAAAGTCTTTAAAGCAGCAAAATACCGGGTTTTTATGGCCAGTTAGTGGAACAAGAGGAAAGGAAGTGAAGACATAGCTATGATCAGAAAGACCTTGTCCTACCTCTACTGTTAATTCAGAGAAATAGCGGTTCAGAAACACAAGATTTAATATTGAGGGGGAATCCCTCTGTACAGACGTAGGTACCCGAACTACCTGCAATAGGTCATGTATAAGCGTGATGTCAAACACTATGTTAACATGTTTTGAAGTGTTAATGCCGGCGTCAAGGCGCTCACAGTCTACTCCAGGTAGGTTCAGGTCACCAATCAGTAAGACCTTTTTACTCTCAAATTTGGCCATATAATTTTTCAGTGTGCTAAGGTATTCAGGTGTAACGTCTGGGAGTCTGTACGACTCAATTTCAACGAGACAATGACCCCAGCATGTAGCCCTAATACATAAGCATTCTATGTAAACAAGATCATCCAACAAAACACCATCGATACACTGTTTTACCAATATAGCCACCCCTCCTCCCCTAGTGCGTCTGTCTTTACGAAAAACTGTATAGGATGGGGGGAAGACGTCGTCATTAGGCAAATGCTTGTGTAGCCAAGTCTCGGTAACAACCATAATATGTGGATCATGTTGCAACAGAAGCACTTCAAACGCTTCAGTTTTATTCACAATGCTTCAGGTATTAATATTTAGTAGCCTTAACTGTTTGTTACATAGTGCTGGAATAGGTCACGAGTGTGGCTTGGAAGATTGACGGATTGATATGAATCGATGTCTAATATAAAGTTGAGCCAACTTTCCTTTCTGGCCTGTAGGCGCGTCCTCCTGCCTTCAGACTTTATGTTTTTAAAATTTGTAAGATTCTTCGCTGTCGAAGAGTCCCGAAGCAGCTTCCATGCTTTATTTTGCTTTTTACGTGCATTCCGACACTCACTGTTTCACCAAGGAACATGTTGCCTGGCGGACAGTCCAGTTTGTGGGATACACTTTTGCAGCATCAATAAGAAGTGCTGTCA